CCTGTTACTGTTGATGGTATATAACGCACAGTGAAAATCACTTCTGTGGACTCGAGGTCACCTGTAATGAAGCAGCTCTTGTGGCTTATTAACTTATACTATAGTGCCAAAAGCACGTGGACACTTTATCACACCTTCATGAACTTGTTGGGCAGCCCATTCCAAAATCATGTGCATCATTATGGAGACGCCCCTCCACATTTGCAGATCTAGCAGCCTCTTCTGGGCTGGCTTTACACAAGATTTTAGAGTACATCAGTGGAAATCTGTGACCATTTGGCTTGTGTTTATGGACCTCACCTTGTGCACAGAGACTGTCATGCATGAACAGGAAATACTTCCCCACACAGTTACTACAAAGTTGGAAGCATTAACTGTCTAAAATGTCTATGTATGATCTATCATTAACATTATATTTCACTGGAACTAAGTTCACTGTTGGAACTATGCATTTCTGTAGGTAATGTTCTCCTGACATCTGCCAAACACAGATATGTCTATCAGACTGCCAGATAGTGAATTCATCTCCCCAGAGAATGTTTCCACTGCTCCAATGGGGGTGTGCTTTATATCACTCTAGTCAACATTTGACATTGTGCATAATTATCTCAGACTTGTGTGCAGCTGCTCGACCATAGACATGTATTTCATTAAGCTCTTGATGCACAGATCTTGTGCTGATGTTGCTTCCAGAGGCAGTTTGCAACTCTGTACTGATGCAGAGGACAGACAATTTAAACATGCTATTCATTTCAGCACTTCAAAGCCCCACTTCATGTAATAACACTCACAGTTTACCAGGGCTGATCTAGCAGGGCATACATTTCACAAATTTTCTAGTGGCAAATGAGGAATTCTATGCAGTGCCATGTTTAAAGTCACTGACCTCTTCGGTATAACCAGTGTTTTTCTGTGGAAATTTCTGGGCTATGTGCTTGACTTTATACACCTGATAGCAATGGGTGTGGCTGAAACACCTGAACTCAGTAATTAGTTGGGCTGTCCACATACATTGGGCTATTATTAAATACAGTGTTGTAAATCCTTCATGCTATACTATATTTATACTTATGCTTATAATGCACAATATAAAGATGAACAAAATCAGTGAATAGAAAAATAAAAGATTTGACTAATAAATACAATGAATACGTAACCCAAATCAGTCCTTTATTAAATTTATACATGCTACACTGAACCTGTGTATGTTATTGTGCATCTACAGTGAGCTGTTTACTGATGTTCTGTTCCTGCACTGACTATTAAACCTCTCTCTACAGGGGGTCCACCTAAAACTACAACATCCACTGCAGTGGTCAACTACATAACCAGTTCTCCTCAAGACACTAATGATAAACATAGCTAACATTATGGAGAGAAACGGTCACTAGCACAAACTGCATTTAGGATGTCTGTAGAGATGAAGATATTGACCAACCTGAACATCTGAGTTTGGTTCTGAGGAGATATTACAAACCAATTTTTTTTTTATCACAATATGTAAATGTACACACATGATTGTTAATAAAGATTTAGTGCTGTGAAATAATATGACTAATATGATCCACTTCTTGTAGAACCTCTGCCCTTCGTCCCCTTTGCCTTGGTGGCTGTGATCTTCCTCCACATTATAGTAGCTGTGGTTTATCACACCGAGAGAAACAAAGGTACAAACTACACAATCAAACTGTTATATTCATACTAATTTTCTTGTGTGTCTTCGTTTATGCATTTTGTCCATCTCTGTCAGATCCTGCCAGAGTTCACTACAGCACAGCTGATGGAGATGGAGTGGTCAGTCTGGAGTAGTGCAGTCCTGCAACACTGGCATGAATTCACCATTTGGCAGCCAAATATTTAGGAACTTGTCCACATTCTGTTCATAGAGAGACAAAATATGCATCTTAAAAACCATCTTTTCGCTCCCGAGTGGCGCAACCGTCTAAGCGTTGGCCCTATCATCAGGAGATCGCGAGTTCGATCCCTGGTGATGCTACAGCCATCCGTAGCCGGGAGTCCAAGAGAGCACAATTGGCCTCGCTCTCTCTGGGTGGGTAGGATGGCCCCTCCTTCTCCCCCCATCACTCAGCGCGATGCTAGTCAGCGCAGGCGTCTGTTAGCTGACGTAACAGATCTGGCGGTTGGCGCTTTCCTCCGAGCGCGTTCGGCTGTGCAGTGACGTTGCGTGAGCGGCAGTTCGAAAAGAAGCGGTGGTTGGCGTCACAGGTCTCGGAGGAAGCCTGTGTTAGCCTTCACCCTCCTAGCGTTGATAGCATCGTGTGATTGGGGGAGTCCTAACTAGCGGGTGGAATTGGAGACGACTAAATTGGGGAGAAAAATCGGGTAAAAATTAAAAAAAAAACAAACAAACATCTTTTCACTTTGTTTTTCGGATTTATAACTAATTAATTTGAATTACTATCAAATAAAAGCCAAGTGATTATAATTCATTGATGTTAATTATTTATAATAATAATAATAATAATAATAATAATAATAATAATAATAAATATAATAATAATAATAAATATTAATGTTATTTATTACTTTTAAAGTTGTACTGCTAATGAAATCATTGCCATGAATAACAATTTAGACTTACCATCCAACTTTGCTTCATATATTCATATTTTTGTTGCACACACTGACAATTTACTACTAATCAAACTGAAATCAATGAAACTTCTCCATGATGCTTTTGTTTGTCTGTAAATACAGAAATAATGTAAACTAATTTTGTTCATTTTCCTGATCACAATGTCAAGAAATCATTTTTGAAAACTTAAACAAGACTAAAGACAGACCTCCACTCTCATTAATATTTCCTATTGATTTAGTGAGGCCACACTGTTAAAGGGCTTACTAACAGGAAATGTGCTGCTTACGAGATCAGTGCTGGAACTGGTGGACTGAGGAGCATTTCCAGTCAGATGTTGAATTTGGCCAGACAGATCTTTAACACCAGTGATAACTTGAGCCAACTGAAACAATTACTCACTCTGTTGTACTTTCAGCTCACAGATTGACTGAGTAAATCTGGTGAGGAGCTGGTGGTTTTGTCCCAGGAGCTGAGCCTGAGTTTTAATAGCTTGTTGGACAACATCTAGGTGTGCCATCTGCATGATGGTGAAGTATTCTGTTAGATTCAGACAGAATTCAGATGCTTGCAGAAGAAACTGAAGTAAAATAGGTTTATTAGCAAAGGCAGCCTCAAATCAAGGTCAACCAGTACAAATTCAAAAGCCAAATCAAGAAAACAGCAACCATGAAGGAAGTCCAGAGTCCAAAATGAAAAGAAGGTCAAACCAGAAAAAAAGCAAGCAAACTGACCATAAGGGACCATAAGGCCCCGTGAAACAAAGGCAATACATCACAAAGCACCAACAAACTGAGGGGGTTTATATAGTGAGCTTAACAGGTGAGTTTAATCAGTGTTCAGGTGAAGTGGAATGGTGGAGAGTCACGTGAGGTAGATCTGGTGTCATGTGATCAGGTGGGGTGTTCTGGGAAATGAAGTCCGGAGGCTGAGAGGTGTAACAGCGGGACCAGAAAGAAGTGTGACAGATGGAAGCAACGAGGTGGACAGTCTGCTTAGAGTGAGGTGGTGCCAGTATGCATTGGTGGGATTAAATGTATAATATATAGTGCTTAAAAATTCAGCATTCACATATCCTATTGTCTTCCTCCCCTTGTGTTGTGCCTTCTTGAAAGCATGAAAAAATAGAAAGTCTTATCATTAATCTAAGCATAAAAAAGTCTGTCTCTGGAGTGCTAAAGGAAGCAAGACACTGGCCACATATACAGAGGGAGAAAGAGAGCAAGAAGAACTCTAAAAATGACTGAAATAAAACTTCACATATGTTTGTTTGGTGTATCACGTATGTGTAAATAAAGCACTCTGTGTCACTCATGCTGGTGTTTATATTTGAGGCTTCATCAGGTTTCAGGTCAACATGGCTCAGTCCCCCCCCCCCACTTGATACTATTATAGCTACCAGAAAATAGAGGCGTAGACGACATAGATGTTTCACAACTATGAGATCACATCTCAAGAACAACTAGCAAAACCACAGAAAGGAGCAGATATAGGGAAAAAAAAAATACATAAGGTCAGAGCTGCCTTTAATTCTTTGGCTTTAGTCCTCACACTTATAACCATCAAAGTGTAAGAACTTTTCACAGTTTTGGGAGACAAGAATAAGGACTATAATGACAAATCGGCATCACAATGATGAGAAATGGCTAGATATCTGTATATAAATAGTTTGTGAATATATCATGCAATTACCCATATGTAAACACTCACAAACACACACACACACACTTAATACCAGAGCAGATATGAAACTGACTGCACAGACTGCAAAATGGTGTGTCAGGCAGTATGCATAGAGCACTGATAGAGAGCAAAGAAACTGCCAGTGAAAACTTGGAGCAGTGGAACATGACAGTTCAAGGTAATCAAATGTAAAAGCAAGGAAGCTAAAACAGCAAATGAAAAAAAAGGCAAAACGAGTCTATGTTGTGTTTTGAATGCTGCTCTGCTGGTCACCAGCAAAACCACCATATGCTGTGTTTTGGATGCTGGTATGCTGGATAATCAGCATGAACATACAGAGTGTCCAGGAATGTGAGAAAGACTAATAGGTGAGCATGACTTCTCTTTATGGCTGTTTCTCATGTCCACTTGTGTGTTCTGCAAAGTGATGTACTGCAAAAGAGGAAACAGTAAGTGTTCCCACGACTCAGAGTCCACCATGTCATTGCATGTGGTTTCGATTTCTAAAGAAGCTGCTGATAAAGTCTCTAAAAGACAGAAGAGTTCCGGTCTAGCTGATTTAAACACAGCTCCTGTGAGCTGCACAGACATTAGAGTGGGTTAGACTCCAGTGAAGAGCTGCTGAGAGAGCTGTGTACTCAGTGTGGTATACAGGGCTAGTGTAGTGCTGGGTGTGGAGCTGTCAGTGTGCTGTGAACTCAGTGTTGTTTTACTAGTGAGGATGTTGCTGACTTTTTATCTTCTCTTCATTGGGCTTCACGTCTCTGAAGGTGAGTGTATTTTTTATCTTGTTACTGAGTTACTGATGATGTAGCACTGGAGGAACAGAGAGAGAGAGAGAGAGAGAGAGAGAGAGAGCACGAGCACTAACTAACTAAACACAGAACTACCAACAGTATCGGACTAGCATCAAACAGACGAGAGCAAAATCGAACTACACAGATCAGCATGTCAAATTCAGTATGATCAAACAAACACGTGACCGAGTGAGCCGGTAGACTTACGCGCTGGCTGTCCACGCAGTTATTAAATGGGAGGCTCCGCCCCTTTTGGCTGCAAGGCCGTGCTTAATTGACCGATTGACCACGCACTTGCAGATGATTGGCAGCTCGCTCCACCTAGAGAGAGAGAGAGAGAGAGAGAGAGAGAGAGAGCGAGCACCCACACACAAGCGGAGGGGAGAAAACACACGCTGACACATAACGCACTCAAATACTGCTTCAATCTATATGTATATACACACGTTTAGTTTTGCTTTTTTATATTAAAAAGATTTAATATTTTGGTTTATATCAAAATTTGATAATCATCCTAAGCTGTAAGTTGACGTTAAATATATATAAAAAATAAAAAAAAAACTGTAATCGCAACGTCATACAAAGAGTAGATCATTAATCTGATCTTACTGATGTGTGTTTTTACAGGCTGCACTCTGGAGAACAGAGGACAAATACAGAGTATCACAGCCCATACAGGAGGGTCAGTACCGCTGCCCTGCTACTGCACTGACCTACATACCAAACCTGAGGAATCCAGCTGGAAGAAAGAGAACACAAACACAGAAAGATGGGAAGTTATATCCAGTGAGAGTGGTCAGTATAACGACTGAACCCTGAATATATGGAATGAGAATATGGAATGAAATCTGACGTCATCAAGGCACTAGCGCCATATTATATTTTAGATTTGTGAGATTCCGTACGGATGCCAGGTGTTGTGCCGAATTCCGACTCCCCGGCAGAATCCGACTCCCCCTCGCGTGCACGCGCTTCACGTAAACATGTGGACGTTACGGACTGCACTCAGGATTTCTCAGGTTATTTCTGTGTAAATAACGCTTTATCTTTCATTTTCCTCCACAGCGAACAACACAACAGGATCTAAAGCCAAAGACAAAGACTCTCACCGTGATGGTTTAGTTTAATATTACGAAATAAAAACGATTGTTGTTGTTGCAGTACTTGAGAACTGGTGGGACTGAATGGCTTTCAGTCATGACGATAAGTATTAGGACACATTAAACACAGCTTTAAACCTCTGTCTGGAGCACTAAAGCTCACATCTGAGGACCTGACGCTGCAGCATTGGCTGACTTGTTTTACTTGTCATTATTCAGCAACCAGACTTTCACTGCTTGCATAGCTGGACAAATTAACGAATTAGTATCCATTACTGCATGAAAGAGTTGCCCATAGTTAAAAATTGCAGTAAGAACAATTGTTGTAATGGCAGTAATTTAAGATTAATTTTGGCTGAAAAGTCTTCAGCTTTTACATAGTCAGAAGGTTTATTGTAAACCTGTCAAAATGATGCCCCTCATATCTCTGGGGATGCATTATGACTGGAATAATTAACCTGTTCTGCTGACTTCTGGTTCATAGATTACAGCATATAAAGCATATTTCTCTAAATTCAACAGGGGGGATTTTACTGGGGGAGTAGAATTTTGGCAGGATTATTTTGACAACTGCCGAAATTACACTCCTCCTCTGATCTCAGCACTGCAAGGTCTGAATGACATCTCCTGTATTTTGCTAGCATGTCCTGGGCTGTAGATTGTGTCCTGAAATGCATTTTACTCTAGATTCAACAGGGGGGGATTTTACTGGGGAGGTAGAATTTTGGCAGGATTATTTTGACACCTTATTTGATATACAGTAAACTTTGTTACAGTATTTTTTCTGCAGAATATTATAGCATTAATACAATGTACATTTGGATTTCTGATTTGTAGAAATTGATGAGGTTCCTTTGATTAATAACATTGTAATGTCAGGCTTGTTTTAATAAATCTTTTAGTTTCTTATTTCTTTGTTGTATTTCATTTACATATTTATTGACTTATGTCAAATCATTAATAACATAAAAGGTTTGCTCATGAAGAAAAATTCTGAACGCATCATTTTTCTATTCTTATGACGACTCTTGTTTTGTATGGTGGAATCGACGTGAGCGACAGGTCGTAATTTGTTCAGCTTTACGTACTTAATTTTCATACTTTCTTTCTTACCTGTAAAAGTAAGAATGAGTGTAATTTCGGCAGGTGTCAGAATAATCCTGGCAAAAAATTCTACTCCCCCCAGTAAAATCCCTCCTGTTAAATCTAAAGTAAAATGCATGTCAGGACACAATCTACAGCCCAGGACATGCTAGCAAAATAAAGGAGATGTCATTCAGACCTTGCAGTGCTGAGATCAGAGGGGGAGTGTAATTTCGGCAGTTGTCAAAATAATCCTGCCAAAATTCTACTCCCCCAGTAAAATCCCCCCTGTTGAATTTAGAGACATATGCTTTATATGCTGTAATCTATGAACCAGAAGTCATTATTCCAGTCATAATGCATCCCCAGAGATATGAGGGGCATCATTTTGACAGGTTCACAATACACCTTCTGACTATGTAAAAGCTGAAGACTTTTCAGCCAAAATTAATCTTAAATTACTGCCATTACAACAATTGTTCTTACTGCAATTTTTAACTATGGGCAACTCTTTCATGCAGTAATGGATACTAATTCGTTAATTTGTCCAGCTATGCAAGCAGTGAAAGTCTGGTTGCTGAATAATGACAAGTAAAACAAGTCAGCCAATGCTGCAGCGTCAGGTCCTCAGATGTGAGCTTTAGTGCTCCAGACAGAGGTTTAAAGCTGTGTTTAATGTGTCCTAATACTTATCGTCATGACTGAAAGCCATTCAGTCCCACCAGTTCTCAAGTACTGCAACAACAACAATCGTTTTTATTTCGTAATATTAAACTAAACCATCACGGTGAGAGTCTTTGTCTTTGGCTTTAGATCCTGTTGTGTTGTTCGCTGTGGAGGAAAATGAAAGATAAAGCGTTATTTACACAGAAATAACCTGAGAAATCCTGAGTGCAGTCCGTAACGTCCACATGTTTACGTGAAGCGCGTGCACGCGAGGGGGAGTCGGATTCTGCCGGGGAGTCGGAATTCAGCACAACACCCGGCAGTGTGACGCTATGACTGAGTCAGCACGAAATCTAGTGGCAGTAATCCTGAAGTGAGGAGATAATTAACACCCTGGCGATATACGAAACAAAAAAATAATACCGGTTACTGTATTTTATACTGTTTTACCAGTTAACTTTATTCACTGTTTCACTGTGGAAGAATGCAGTGAACCTCACAGGCCAGACGATTATCGTTAATCAGCCAAACATTAATGCAGACAGAAACATGCTGTTCGCCTCACAGGAGCCCCCACAACAATCCCTACCTAAAATATTCGCCTGTTCACTTGGCCCCAAGTCTATGGCGTGGGGTAGGAATAGTTAGCATATATATTACAAATGTAGTTGGGTGCTCCGTTAGGTGACCCCCCGGGATTCGATCGCTTGTAGGGGGAATTCTCTCAACATCCACCCCCGGAACGTAATCGCGTTTAAAGGGGAACTCCAACACTATACCCCATCCCTACAATCCCTCTTCCAACACTGGAAGGTGACATTACTGCACTCTAGGCTGCTTGTGGGCTGCTACTGTGAGGTGGAAGGCACGTTTCTTTCTAGTATTATTTTGGCTCGTACATCTGTTCGCCAGAGTGTTAATCATCCCCTCACTATTATTCAAGATCACTGCTAGATTTCTTGCACATGCAGTCATAGCGACGCACTGCCGGCAACCGTACGGGTGCCTCGATGACGTCACCTTTCATTCCATATTCTAAAGTTTCATTCCATATATTCATATCTTTCACACACAAACACCATCTAAACCGCTTATCCTTCTGGGTCGCTGGAGCCTATCCCAGCTGTCATCGGGCGGAAGGCAGGATACACCCTGGACAGGTCGCCAGTCCATCACAGGGCAGACAGACATACACAGTCACACACTCACTCACATCTAGGGGCAATTTAGTGTGTTTTTGGACTGTGGGAGGAAACCGGAGAACCCGGAGGAAACCCACGCAGACACGGGGAGAACATGCCAAGTCCACACAGAAATGACCCTGGTTGCCCGGCCAGGAATCGAACCCAGGCCATCTTTTTTTTATATATATAAAGATTTAATATTTTAATTTAAATCAAAAATCGATGATCATCCTAAGCTGTTGGTTGATGTTAAATATAAAAAAAAACTGTAATCATGATGTCAAAGAGTATAAAGAATATATAATTAATCTGATCTTACTGATGTGTGTCTCTGCAGGCTGCATTCTGGAAAACAGAGGACAACTACCAGGTATCACAGCACATACAGGAGAGTCAGTACTGCACTGACCTACACACCACACCTGAGACATTCAGCTGGAAGAAAGACAACACAAACACATTTGAAGAGGTATCCAGTGAGAGTGGTCAGTACAGAAACAGAGTTCAGCTGGTTAATGGTCACTCTCCAGGAAACCTCTCTCTACTTATATCACACCTGACTGAAGAGGATGGAGGAGATTACTGGTGCACTGTTAACGATTCATATATAATCATCAAACTGACTGTAAAAGGTAAAACACTGTCTCAGTTTTCATTTATAAAGAATTTAAGTCTTATAATTAAATGTATCTGCACAGAAAACCAGCTCTGAGTTTTTAAACATTCCACCCCTCATCACTCTTCACCTACAGTCATGAGCAAAAATGTGTACCTTCAAATAAAAAATTTAAATGATATGTTTTGTAGATTTGTAGATTTTCTGAGTGAAAATAAGTTAAAATGTCTCTACAGAGAGCAGACTTGATGTAAAGTCACATTTTTCTGAATTTAACAGGGAGACATATCTAAGTTTGTTCTGTGTAGAAGGTCTGTTCGCTCATTTTCATCATGAAAATCATCAAATCATTTCATTTGACCAGAGACTTTTCATATAACTATGTGTTTTATTAGCTCTGTTTATTATCTTGTGTGTCTGCATGAGCCTCACTCTGTTTACTGTGAAGCTCAATCAGAGACACAAGATGATAAACAGAGCTAATAAAACATGCAGTTGTCTGCAAATATTTCAACACCTCTGGTCAAAGTGTTTCATCTATACTTACTGGTAAACTTACTTTATTTATTTATTTATTTATTTATTTGCTTACTTACTTACTTAATTACTTACTTACTTACTGCTGTGATGAACTGCCTGTCCTCATTTTCACACTTGTGGTTTGTGTACATGTTCATTACATGTTGTTGTGTTCTTCAAAAGATACAGGCGTGACTCCCATTTCTATAAACGAGTTAGAGAGAGAGAGAGGGTGTAGTGAAAAATAGTGTTAGCATGTGATGAGAAAGTAGGGGAGAAAATATGCGAGTACTTGTAATTTCTATAAACAGGCAAATCTACTACAGATAGTCAGCTGGCTGTTTTGAAATTTCCAGTTTATTTGACATCAAATAGTGAGTTAACAGAACAGTTTACTTAAAAAAGCCAGGATCTGTTTGGGCTGCAGATCTCTCACAGTATTTATCAGGACACAACATCACCCTGATGGAGTGCTGTGTTTTAACACAATATTTCAGATTTAAAATTAGGAAAGAAGAGTTTTAATGAATGGCTGTTTAACTTTTAAATATATAAAACTGAAGATAAAATGTTCCTCTGTTAGCAGAGAGGGGTGTGTAGATGAGAGTTATGTGGAGGTAAGAACAGCATCATTAAAGAAACGTATCTGTTTTTACCACTTTTTGTTTTTTTTGTCATTCTCAATTATTTATATAATTTTTGTCTCTCTTGGTTATTTTATGGTTTTTGTTTATAAAACACATGAGTCAACATTGCTGAGTCCATGCACATGTTGTTGATGTGTAAATCCTCTCATTTAATAAAAAGTAGCAGCTGCACATTTTACAGGTTTACAGGTTCAAAAATAATGCTGGAGGACGAAATCCAAAAACTATAATGCTACACTGGGCTGAGCCTCAGATCTTTACACGCCCAGTCAATGGCCCTGATTATTGGTCAAAGTATGTGTCTCTCAGTTCAAAGTGTTAGTGAAAATCAGAAATATTAGGGAAGAAATTTACCATAAACAAAACTTCCTGTTCCACAAAAATACGGTACAAATACACACTCAGAGTTGTTAATATTAATACAACCCCATTTCCAAAAACAATGGGATGCTGTGCAAAATGTAAATAAAAATAAAATGCAATGATGTGCAAATCATTTCAACTCTACAAAGACCACACTTCAAATGTTGAAACTAAGAAATTTTATTGTTTTTTTTTTTGTTTTTGTTTTTTTTTGAAAAAAATACATGCTCATTTTAAATTTGATGCCAATAAGATGTTCCAAAAAAGTTGGAATGGGGGCAACAAAAGGCAGGTAAAGGTTGTGTAATGCTAAAAAAAAAAATACACAACCTGGTGGTTAATTGGCAACAGGTCAGTAACATGATTGGGTATAAAAAGCATCCCAAGGAGTCTGAGTCTTTCAGACGTAAAGATGAGGAGTGAAAATCTGAAATATCAGGGAAGAAAGTTAATATCAAGAAAACTTCCTGTCCAGTAAAGATACAGTACAAATACACTCACAGTATTAACAAATGCTTGATTTGCACTCCAAAGTCTGGGCTCCAAAGTTACAAAGAAAAAGTTTTGTTTAACTAAACTCTGGAACATTTCTGGACATTAGACTGTCTGGCTCACTGCATGTTAATAAGACTCGTCTAAACATGCATTTTAATTCTGTTCCCTTCTTTTGATTTCATATATGAATAGGTTTTTTATTTCTTTATTTTTAAAAACTATTTTTTACATTTTTATTATTTTATGTATTCTTTTATTTTGTATAATATTTTGAATATATTTGTAGGTTGAAACAAAAAATAAAAATTGACTCACTTAGTGATTAACTCACACTAAAATAGTAGATAATTCAGTTTTTTGCTTTTGTCAAGAGGTCATTTGGAAATGTTACAAATTTTCCAGACTTGGACTTTAACTTAACTTATTATCCCTTCAATTGAGTATGCTTAAATTTGCAAACACTTAAGGAATGTTTGTGTGTGTGTGTGTGTGTGTGTGTGTGTGTGTGTGTGTGTGTGTGTGTCTGTGTGTCTGTGTGTGTGTGTGTGTGTGTGTGTGTGTGTGTGTGCGCGTGTGTGTGTGTGTGTGTGTGTTGAGGGGAGCTTATTTTTAATATACACATTAAGATTAACAGATTCTGCAACTATTAACTTCCTCTCTGCAGACAAACTATAAAAATCTCCTCAAGCAGTCAGTGATTTATGAAAATTAGTCAAACTACACAATCACATCATTCTACCATCTAAATTAGAAGAAGACATTCCGTTCTATTCCATGTTTAATGTAAATGATGTGTATATGAGGGTAAATTGTGGTGAGGTTACAGAATGACCTTACAGAAAGTGACCACACAGACATCAGACACACTGTTGAACATTAACATTATTTAAAAATGTATTTATACTGTAATTATAAAACTAAATAAAACTAAATGTAATCTGATCCAGCTGGACCTGGTTTTGTTAGGTATTTATTACATGTTTCTGCTGTTTAGCTTTATTCTCCTTCTATAGTCAAAATGAATTGTTGTCTAAATATTAACATCTGTACATTTTTATGAAGGCTGTTCAGATCATTTACAATAAAAAAGCAAATAAATAATATTGCTGTGTATCTACAGTGAGCTGTTTGCTGATGTTCTGTTCCTGCACTGACTATCAAACCTTTCTCTCTCTGCAGTGGATCCAACTAAAACTACAGCACCTACTGCAGCGGTCAGTGTACACACCAGACCAACCGCTTCAACTACACATTTCCCTCAAAAACCTGATGGTAAGTACAGCACACTGACTGCAGCTGACCTGAAGGTGTTACGGCTTTCTTTTATTTGGGGAAATTATTTATTATGTTCTCTAAACATTCTTGTTTCTTGTCTCTCAAGAAAAAAGATGTTCTTACTTATTTTCACCCTGAAAGTCAAGAAAAATGCAGGGCTGTTCAAAATTTTGCACACTGATTTCTGTCTGATTTCTCAGAACATGCTCAGAACAACCTCACAAGCACATATTAAACAAAGTCTATACTGATAAGCCAAAACATTATGACATTCTAACAGTGATGTGTGACAAGCAGTGATTTACAAACCTACTTCTACACATATTTAAATGAAAACAGTACAAAGACAAGATATTTATTGGTTTATTTTACCAACCGAGTTTAAGAATAGAAACATTGTTAAATGTCAATCAGGTGATACAATCATTCTTGGATTTAAAAGGAGCATCCAGGAAAGGATGAGTCCTTAATGAGTAAGGGTGGGTCAAGGTTCACCATTTTGCTAAAAAAATCTGTCAGCAAAAAATTCAACCATTTAAAAATGATCTTCAGCGAGTTATGCCAAGAGTTTTAGACAATTTACCCTCTACAGTGCATAATGTCATCAAAATATTCAGGCTATCTGGAGAAATCAAAGACAAGGCAGAAAACCACAACTGAATGTCTGTGACCTTTTTTCAGGACTGAATTAAGTGCTGCATCTATAAATGCAAGTTGAGGGTAAATCATGCACAGTGAAAGTCACTTCTCTGGACTTGAGCTCACCTGAAATGGTGGAAACATGTCCTGTGATCCCAAACATTCCTAAATGATTATTAAGAGTTAATAAAAGTGAAGGTGATGTATGTCAATGGTAAACAGGCTCCTGTCCCTACTTTTTCAGACAAGCTGCAGGCACATGAGAAAGAGACTTTATTTACAAAAAACATCCATAAGCTTAAAATTTGTTTTTATACTGTTTTTAATTAAATACAGGTCAAAAAAAAAATACTAATCACTGCTTTCTGGTTTTTAGTAACATTTCACATTTTGTCCCAAATTATTGGAATTGGGTTTGTACAGTAAACGATGTTAATGTTACTGTATATCTACAGTGAGCTGTTTACTCATGTTCTGTTTCTGCACTGACTGTTAAACTCTTCTCTCTCTAAAGAGGGTCCACCTACAACTACAGCACCTACTGCAGTGGTCAGCAGTCAAATCATGCTGAGCACTTCAACTCCAAGTTCATCTCAAACACCTGGTGGTAAGAACAGCACACTGACTGCAGCTGACCGTCAGATTTTACAGCTTTATTTTATTTGTTTATTTATTTATTTTGTTGTTTTTTTTTTTATTATGCTCCCTATGCATTTTTTAAATCAATCACATTTCATCAGCCTTTCTTTTTTGCATTTACATCTGAAGAGATCATGTTTATACACATTTTAATGCATGATTACTGTTAATTGATTAGTTTAACATGTTGCAGAATTAAACATAAGATGTGAAATGTATAAAAGTTCTATTTTCTTCCAATATGTTAAACTAAACTGTCTTATTTAGGTTTGTTCTGTAAAGAGGATGTGATCATAATATTTACACTTTGAACAAGAAAACATGCCATTTGACCAGGGGTACCCAAACTTCTGCATACAACTGTATGTCTCGTTAGTGGTGTTTATTGCCTTGTGTCTCTGCATTCGCCCTGACATTCTTTTTACTTTCAACATTACTG